AATAAGAAGCCCCCCCTCCCCCCCCAGCAGTGTCATAGTCTGCGCCAACCTCGATCATGGTCACCTCTGCAAGACAGCTTGGTCTGCACATAACAGAGGGATAAACATAAATGACCTCTTTTGATGGTGGAAGCCCACCCTTTAGGGGGATCTTAATGCCACGACTTCCCGATCATGTGACTAACTTTATTATGCGTGGCTGTTATAGCGCCAACAGTTTGCACAGCGCTTTACAAAATAGAGGGAGACGGTATAGTTACAATACAATCCAAGACAAGGGGATCAGGAGGGCCCTGCTCCTGAGAGCTTACAATCTATGTGGTCCACAGTGCCCGTCCTACTGGATCCAGATTGTAAAGTGACCGCCAGATGTTGGTGACCGCGCGGTCATGATGCTGGGGGTATTGAGTGCACCCCTAGCGAAGAACAAGAACGCTGGTTGCATGCATGTATATGACCGCATGGCATTACAGCCCACCACTGTGCCGCCACATGTATCCCAAAGGTCGGTGGGAAGAGGGAAAAGCTATAAGAAATGAAGAAAGAAAGCCATTAATAAGTAAAAACAGTTGTTACATGTATCATCTGCATGCAGTTATCACAATGCAATAGTGGTCCTCTGATGCCAATTTCAAGCTGGCTGCCAGCTAAGATGCCAGTCTGGCTCAAGACATGTCCTTGTCCTTTTTGTATTGAGCAGAAACTTTCCAACTTTTGCAGGGTATGATAGAAGAGCCAGCATTCCAAATCAGGTGCCATGTGATCTCGGTGCCAATCCATGAGATAGTGCCCCCGGTATCAGATTATTGAAGCGTCCAGTGCCCTGAATGCCAGCTGTGCAATGATGGTCTATTGTCCATGCCAATCCTTGTCCAGCACACCGTCCCGCCGCCCCGGTCCACGATCGCTCTCCCAGCTTTCTGACAACGTCTACAAGTAACACAATCCGCCTTAGAACGGTGTGCCCGTCTACCTGCCCGGACCGGCCAATCACAGCGCAGCACCGGGTCCCCGCCCCCCTGAAGGGGGACGCATCCAGCCAATCAGAGACGCCTGAGCACCTAAACCTCCTTCTCAATCACAGCCAAGCTCAAAAAGCGAGAAAAGCCGACTAAACCCGTTTGTGCGCCCGGACTCCCAATACCCAGGAGACAGATCTGTCCCAACTAGAAAGTCCAGTTCCACCGACACGGCCGACATGACACAGGACTACGACAAGTAAGTCAGCAGAGTCCAGCGATGTGTGTCTGTGCTGTGCCAGCTGTCCGGGGACACTCACAGCTGACATCCTGGAGCCCCGGGTCCTCCTGGCATGGCTCGGCACACATACTGCAGGCAGGGTGAGCCGAGCCACATGGAGCCCTTTACAACGGGCACCGATCAGCACATAGGTGGGGAGGAAGAAGTCGGGTACTGGGAGCATACTGGGTGCATACTGGGAGCATAGGGATCTCTCCGCACAGGTGCACCTGCTGCTGCATCTTCTCCCACCCAGCACTAATCACTATATGTGTGTGTGTAAATATATATCTAGTTTTAATAGTTATCTTGTTACTGTTGTTGTTCTGTTACATTGTTTCTAGTTGGGACCTTTTGTCTCCTTGATCCCTGGTTCTCCTTGTATTTTCCTTGGCTCGGTGTGAAAGCTCCAGTGTTGTGTAATAGTCAGGTTGGGTCTCAGCAAGTGTGTGGTGGAGCTTCATCAGTGATGGCAGCTAGTCTGTGACTTTGAGAAATCTCCTTCAGCCAGCACAGTGAGATATGTGGCTGTCTTCCTACAGGTGACACATGGCATCTGATCTCCTCTTCTCTGCAGAGAAAAAGAGCAGCTTTGATGGACCTGGTGGACTTGGCATGGATTGTTGTGGCACAGTGTGCTTTATTCTAGACCTCTGGCTGGTTATTACACAAGTTTTAGATTTTTTATTTCATAAAATGTTTCTAAATACACAAATTGCCTCATTGTATCCAACCGGCTCCTGATCTTCATGGACAAGTGTTCGCTTATTGTTGTGTATTGTCATTCTGCAATAATTGTTTCTAAACAGAATTGCCAAAGCTGGACCTGTTATTAAACAGCGAGATTTGTATGTATGTGTATATGTGTATATATATATTTTGTAGATCATGCGTTATACTGTATGTAGGGTATATAGATTCTCTTATTTCTAGTGTATATAGATCAATTTCATTATAGAGTGTGTATAAATAATTTTCATTATGCCTATAGGTCCATTTCTTTAGTGTGTGTATACTGTATAGATCCTTTTCATTACTGTGTGTGTGTGTATAGATCCTTTGCGCCATAGTGGTCTACAGATCCTTTGCGCCATAGTGGTCTACAGATCCTTTGCGCCATAGTGGTCTATAGATCCTTTGCGCCATAGTGGTCTATAGATCCTTTGCGCCATAGTGGTCTATAGATCCTTTGCGCCATAGTGGTCCAAAGATCCTTTGCGCCATAGTGGTCCATAGATCCTTTGCGCTATTGTGTATCCTTTTACATTGTACTGTGTATAGATATACTGTAGACCCTTTTCATTATAGTGCCTGTAGGTCCTTTGCCCCATGTATATGGATCCTTTACACCACGGGGTATCCTTTACATTGTACTGTATATACTGTAGACCCTTTTCACTATAGTGCATAGAGGTGCTTTTCATTCTACCGTAAATAGATCATGTTTATTATAGTGTACATTCTATATGTAATGTGTGTTTTTTATAATCTCTATGTTAGGATTCATTGGACACTCTCTGCCCTATTAGTTGTATTTATCTTCACCTTTTGAATGTGTGTTTTATGTCTATAGTTGGGTTCCTTTTTTATATTTCCTGCTTTTACATTCGGATTTCATTGGATTGGGCTTCACACATAAATGGATGAATGACACATCTTTCACTAAGTGCGTATTTTGATTTTTCTTTTCCGATTTGCAAATACCAATAAAACAAAGAGTTAAAAGAGGTTGAAGCTTCCTTGTGAAGTCAGCTTGTAAGTTGATGGAAAAAAAAAAAAGGCAACAAGACAGTTGAAGGTAGATGAAACCTGAGACCTGCAAGGCGTTGGTCATGGTGAAAAGGATTGTAGTTGAACAATTAGTGTCTGCCATCAGTTCTCTGTCCCCCAAATCCTTAGAAACTGATACAAACACAAGCTGGAAGTTAAAGGGTTCCTTTCAGCGAGGAGCCACCCTGCGCTCTGCTGGGTGTGCGGATTCTGGCGCTAGATTTTGGATGGATTTTCCCCCTTTCCACCTGTTGTGACCCGGCGCAGGCAAGATAGAGTCAGATAGGTATGGATCAGACCTCAGCTACACACCTACTCTGACATTCCCAGCCCATCTACTGACTCACTCCTTGGATGCATGGCAATTGAAGGAACTTGCATCAAAACACAATAAAGCACCCAGGCCATCAGTTTAAGTGGCTGTAAAGGGTTCACAGATTCCCACTGCTGGATTATATAATTGTAATAAACTTCAGACAGCCGAGGCAAAACAAACATGTATGTTAAGAGTGCTTTGTATGTGTGTGTGTGTGGAGGAAAGAAATCAATGCTGTCTGTCTATTCACAGGGGGCCTGTAGCAAGGCAATGTATAACCTCAATTTTTTTTCATGCAGTGCTATGCTGAATTATTATGTATGGTCCAAGCATAGGAAAACTCCCTAGTATGCTGCAATCTATATATAATACAAATATAGTATGCAGAGATTACTAGATTATGAACAAAAACCACAAACTTTGACACCTTCAAGTTTTTTTTTTGTTTGTTTTTTTTTAAATTGCTATTATGACCTTCTTTTTTTTTTTTTTTT